TATATATATCATATACCCATATGGCTAGATGGGAAATCCATGGTTAATCTATGGTTAATCTATGGTTAATAATTGGAATAACAATATAGTAACATATACCTGGGTAAATTTGATCACGACCTCACTGCGACCGAAGCCTGGAAATCATAGTTAGTAAGGGGAATCATCCCAAAATGGCCCAACAATTCAGGTTAGTGAAATATTATAATTTACCCAGATATACCCATATGCGAACCATGGTGCTGGTATATTTACCTACAAAACTGGGTGATTTTGGACAAGGGCAAATGTTAGGATTCATATTCCGTTACATGGAGCATATGGGATATAATATAGATGTATAATGTCGATGTATATGTTTTATAAGTATATATATATGATACAGTCATATATAATTTTTCCCACTTCGTTGGCTCTTCGGGGGGCTTAACGTTTCTTTTTAGAAATGATTCCCGGGATCCTGAAGTTTTCTCCATAGGTCGAACCACACGTCATTTTTTTATCCATCAAATAAATGGTGATTTAACATGATTTGACCAACAATAGGAACGTACAGCTGATGTCTGATAGCTGAGTTGGTTTATAACTTTATAACCGGCTTGACGATTGGGTTTGTCGTAGGTATAGATTATCTATAGGGAATGGATGTTGTTTTGGGATTCATAAACCAAAAAGCATAACGGTGGGGGGGGGCACACACCACCACCTCGTAGAAGGTTGTAAACTTGTAGACTCTGGTTCGCTCGGAACAGGCTGCCGCAGGCCTATAATTATAGAAGTGTTTGTATGAAACCGGAACCCGGAGTTGGGTCAAGCTGAATGGAGCCCAAATAATGATCCCAATCACAGAATTGGCTTCAAGCCAAACTTCATATCAACTCCTCCAAAGCAATCCTACACAAAAGATGTAATGCTTGTGGATGCTTGATATCGCCTTCAAGAACTTACTTGTACATGTATATAAACAAAAGGACAGAACAAATCCTACCATGCTCCAACTCATCAAAAGGTTTCCATGATAGCCATTTTCTGGGTGGTGTTTTCTGGGTCATTTTACCTCTATATTTACCAAAAAAAAACAAACCAAACAGTACCTGGGGTGTTTGGAGCAACCCTATGAGGCTACAAAGAAGTCCTCCAAGACCTACCTGACCACCCCCGCGCCCGGAAAATTCAAGGCTGGTGGGGTGTGGATGGCTCCAAGAAATTGGTGCTAACGAATCCTCCCACACCAGATACCCTCTGGTAAACTAACATAGCTATGGAAAATCACCATTTTTTATGGGTAAATCCACTATAAATGGTCATTTTCCATAGCTATGTTAAATTTCCAGAGGGTACAAAATACATCAAAATACGCGAAATTGGGGAAGTGAAGTACAATCACCTCAATTTCCCCTCCTTGTGGGCTATCAATTTCCCTTGCTTGGAGCAACCGTGGACTGGTGGATCAATGGAGGCGGTCGATAGCTGATGATTCATCATGTTGGTTGAACCAGGATAGGGCCAGGGGATGTTATTAGAAATACAATACAGAAAATTATCAGGATCTTAAGCAACACTTGTTGCTTGGGTTGGTAAGTAGACAGTTGTTTAACAAATTCTGCTTATTGTCGATCATGGTTGACAGCTTGTACTTGATCCTTATTCTGATGGAACCTCATAATCTGACAGTGGGCTCAAGTTTCATATTCTGTGTCCCATTATATATATATTATATATTATATAATATAGTTATACATATGTATGTAGTTATACATATGCATGCTATCATTGACCCTACATATGTCTGGGATTTGCGGCAATGGCAGTCTCCACATACCTGGGAAATTGGTCATTTTTGCTCTCAATACCATGGGGGCCAGGGAGAAAGCCTGGTACAGTGATCGGCAGTGTTTCAAAGATCACCTTTACGCTACTTCGCCTCATTACTGTTGGCCATATTCCCAATAAAAATCATTTCTGTTGCTCTTCTTCCCATTTCCTCTTTTTTAGGGGAGATTTTTAAATTTTCCCGGCTTTCCGAGCTCCCCTTCTCGTTGAATCCACCAAATCGCTGAGTAAATCTCTGCCAGACTCGGCCAGCCGCCAGCTCTACGCAAGGAGGAGGGGATTTGGCAGACGGGGATTGGTGTGGCAACGTTTGTTTCATAGGTAGAATATGAAAGTAAATCTAATAGGAGATAGGAACTATGTAGATATCTAAGGTAATTCATGACAGGAATCGTGTTGTTTGTGATTTACAGTAGCAGACTAATGTGGGTAAAACAATGCCATAAACCATGCCCCAGTCAGCACCATTTTTATAGGTGGTATAAACCCTTCTACGAATGACACATGTCCTGCAGGAGCTGAACGGCGCATGTTCGAAGCATTGGGCACAAAGGGCTTGGAGGACACTTATGGTGGGATGAAAATGGGTCCCAAAGAATGACCCACCAAACAAGAGGTCAATTGGTTGGTGCTTTGCCATTTACTAAATGGGATTTAATGGGATTTTAACATCACTAAATGGGATTTAATGGTGACTTAATTGGTATCTAGTGGGATTTACTGGGATATACCCTCTGGTAATTTAACAGTTTGCTATTGAAAATTGCGATTTATAGTGGGTTTTCCCATTGATAATGGTGGTTTTCCATAGTTATGTTAGTTTACCAGAGGGTAGACTGGTTGGTGGTTTGGAACATTTGGATGATTTTTCCCATCACTAGTTGGGAATTTCATCATCCCAACTGACGAACTCACCATCATTTTTCGGGGTTGACCCCAACCACCAACCAGGTAGATGTAGATTGACGCACATAGATTGATCATTGATCCATGCACATGGAAATATATCAAAGAGATAGGGATTCTTTGACCCGTAACTCGGCATTCAGCAAGACGATGCGTGATGATGCGCGACGATGCGTGACGATGCGTGACGATGCGTGAATCTTTGGGGGTGACTCAAGCAACAACGGAGAGATTTTTGTGTCTACTTTACTACAAGATGAAACCACCATGGAAATGGCAGTACCTATCATTTGAACATATTTGAAAGATATTGTTAGGGGAATATTTTATCTTGGTCAGTTTCCACTTTCCTTGAAGTTGATGCTTTGTGATAGTTGAGTTGGTGGAGTGTCAGGATACCGACTTTGGAGGGCATCCCAGTCTATGTTTCAAATCGCTATTGGGTGGATAATTACCCAATCACTTCGTGTGGCCTGGGTGTATCTGGAAATTGGGAATAATTACCTCCAAATATGTAGATATGTTTAATGGCAAAACTATGAGAACATGATGATGACATGGACATCTGGGATACCCCCCTATTTTTCAGAGAACGCCGCACGCCTATTTTCAGCTTTGGCGAAGTCAGACAGATTCACCCCGTGAGGTAGAGATTGGTGAAATTGCCAGGTTCTGTTGATGAAATCTAAAGTTCTAGCATTCGCCCAAGCAACATAGAACCCCTTGCTAACTAGGGCCATAGGCTGTCAGAAGACTACTTGGCAAACTGTTGGGGGAATGCTACACTTCCATTGTTTGAACAGGGAAACTCGATTTTGGCTATCAACACTTGTCATTTGTACAACAAGTGGGGATTTGATAAAGTTCTGGTTGGTGGTTTCAAACATGAATTTTATTTTCCATTTCATATATGGGATGTCATCCTTCCCATTGACGAACTCATATTTTTCGGGGTAGGTCAACCATCAACCAGTTTACCATTACCAAATGGGATTTAATGGTGACTTCATTGGTATCTAATGGGATTTACTGGGATATACCCCCTGGTAATTTAGCAGTTTGCTATTGAAAATGGCCCACGATACTCCTACAATGTGAGGCCCCCAAGATAGCTAAGTTGGTTTATAAGCCCCAGTAACTATACGTAGTTGTTTGCATACCATAAACCATAGTTATTGGAGTTATGTTCACCAACTTAGCTATCGAACGGGGGCCTCACATTGTAGTATACCACCATTTCTTTCTCGCTGAACTCCATATTTTCTCTGCTTCGTTGGGTCCAGATGGATGCCAGGCCTTTGTGCAGGCCTTAAAGGATGGAAAGCAACGGCCCGGCTGCGTTGCTGGGCTCGTGTTTTTTTGGGGGTCCTCAAGGAAATCCAGATTGACCTGTGTTTTTTTATTGCAAGTAGTAGGTTTTGTTCATTGAAAGTTGGGATTTCACGAAGTTCGGGATTTAAGAAGCACAACATCGGGGATTGAAGACACGAAGAATGGGGAACTAAGCCTTATTGAGCAGTATGGGGATTCCACCAGACGGTGATCAATGACGTGATATTAAGCACTAAAGATAAGTGCTGGGAGATGGTTTATGAGAACCTTGGTGATTTTGCCGATAAATGTAAGAACCTAGATACGAACACAATAGGTAAGATGTCACTACAAGACAAGAAAAAATGCTACCCTGTAGTAACATAGCTATGGAACATGCCATATGAGTAACCGACAAAATTATTGTATATATATAATACTAATTTAGTCTTGCTTCGCCTTGGCATTTCCGAGATTGCACAAAACCTTCAAAACCGATAGGGGACGACCCTGTACCGATACCCCATTTGTGATACCTCCGCGAATACATGCGAATACTGAAATCCTCACAACCGATAGGGGGACGACCTTAATTTGTGTATGGCATTAAATTTACAGGTAACATATAATTCTTTCCGTATATATATATATATACACGTATATGTGGTCACTTATCTTCGGTTGGTAGGTCAGGGATAAGTGGATCAATGTTACAGTTCTTGGCACTGGATGCGACTGATCTTCTTTTTCTATTTTATTTGTTGTACCCGATCGGGTTCAGTTGATGTGATTTGAATTGTTGTGATCACAACATTGAGGTTGATCATCTCAGTTGAGCCAATGGCACTGACCAGTTCTTGGTGCCATTTTGGCTCAAGATCTGATCAGTGATTTCATTTGGGATTTGTGGGCCTGGGTGGTCAACCCTTCTACCGGCTCTTCTTTTTGCCATGCCGAGCTATCGTGGCGCTCGCGGCTCTGACGGTGGATGGGGCTCCCAAGAAGATCAGTGGGGCCGTGGATACGGTAGATCTACCAATAGCGCCCACAATCCCTATGAGGTCAAGATGCCGAGGTTCCTCGTGCCGATCTACGAGGGTATGAAGTTCCCTGAAGACACCTCGATCGTGGTTGTCGACAACCGCGACGACAGAATGGTGTCGCCTTTTCAGGCGTGGCTTGTTTCTGAGATCATGTCAAACGCTGCCAGTTCCATCAACGTGCTCACAGAGAGAGACCAAGTGATGCCGCCTAATTCAGGTTTTTCAGTGGCTCTTTTTGCCAACTATACACTGGATGGGATCAAGGTGGTCTTGGCGCTCTCGCTCGAGAGTGAGACTGGCACTACGTGCGCTGGATGGGATGGTGAGACGGCAGCAGCTCTGTCGCACCAGGCTTTTCAGCCTTTCACGTGGCCGATGCTCAGGGACACATCAGCAAGCTACACAGACGTGAAGATCTACAACGGGAATGAGATCCTGTTCCATTGGATCTTCAGAGGCTTCAGGTCAGACACAGACTTGACAGTCCAGCAACAGTTCGTTGACGAGCACCTGGTCAGAGAAGTGAACCAGGGAAAACCGAGGCTCTCAGTGGTGATCGCCGTGTTCATCGGCTACAGGGTATCAGTTCTGAGTTTTGAGTGCGGGGGTCGCACATACTCAGTAGGACCCCGTGGCTCCGTGGTTGCAGGCGACTCTGCCAGATCGCGGTTTGAGCTCAGGTGTTGTTCAAGGTCTACGGCTGACGCAGTGGGCAATGACGCCGATCATGTGGAGTTCCGGTTCAGGGACTCAAACAACAGGATTGATTTGAAGTGTTCCAGGACGTCAGTTCCCGGGACATGGCTCACTGTCTCACACATCTCTGGACCGACCTTGATCAAGACCATACAGTCAGTGAGGGAGAACAAAGCTCGGGTTGAAGGTCCTGAGCAGACCGAGCAGTTCGCGCAGCTCGCCGCCATCCACCAGACCTGGTGGGAAACATCGGTCGCCAGCAGTGAAGATCAGGTGGGCAGCATGGTGGTGTTCATCCCCGGAATGGAGGAGGGCAACTTTCACGTGCAAGCTCGATCGAAGCTGCTGGTAAGGGAACCCGAAGTCGTTCCAGCCAAAGCTCTGGCTGAGATGCAGCATGGCGAGGCTGTGAAAGCTCCCACAGGTCCCCCCTCCTTGACAGGGGAGGCATGGTTGAGCTCAGCCGAGACGGTCGCCAACATGGTTAGCAGTTCCAAGGGATCAGAAGAGATCGTGCCAGTTCGGCAGCAAGCCAACTACGAGCTCAACTTCCGGTCCTTTGCAACCAAACATCCTCAAGAAGGGAAACGTGGTCACGTTGTGGATGCAGAACGAGATCGTGCTCGCTGCGATCGCAGGTTTGCAAGATCCACAGCTCAGCTCACGCCCCAGTTGTTTCACGAGGAGATTTCCAGGCGATCGTACAATGTCTCTACGGCGACGATCGAAGAGGTCGATGCAGAGCTTATCACTCCACCAGAAGACTGGGCGGCTTGGGGCAAAGAGAACGTGGTGGAAGATGCGGTGGCAGATCGCCCAGCTCTTAGCAAAGTGCCTCACAGCACTCCTGCAGTTGGGTCTACGGAATGCAGTGATCAAGCAGCACCGACCACAGCTCCCCAGTCGTTTGGTCCATCGGCTCAGACGGGCCAGGATGTGGAGGCGGAAGTCACCGTGGAGTAGGTCAGATCATTTTGAATTTTTCCTTTAATTTTCATGTGCAGATCTGCAACATGGCAGATCGCCTCCCGCGTGACGGGCTCCTTTTAAATCGTGTGTGCGGCAAAAAGATCACAGCCAGCCGCATGAACCTGTTGGCACCTCGATCGAACATGTCTGTGGGGATCACGTTGGTTCGTTGTTTGTGCCTTGGGTTCATGGCTGGTTTATTTCTTTGATCATTGTGCGGTCCACCAGATTTTTATTGTTTGGTTTTGATCAAAACCGACTGCAGTTTCCAGGAGCCTCGTTTGGTGGGTGATCACCCCAAATACGCGGTTCAGGGATTTTATTTTGAGTTTACTGGATTTCATATATATGATCTTACCTTAGGTCCCCCCATTGCTCCGGTTCCCCTATTCTTGTGTGTAATAACCTTAGCCCAGATTAGGCCGATCCCCCTAATCAGGGTTCTAGGTTATTTACAAGACTTCGGTTAACCTGGTTTGGGGTAGGAACAGTTCGGATCATCTTTACTGGGACCTTAAGTTTTAATGTTGATCACAGAAGGTCTCATTTTACAGGATTGATCATATCCTCGTGTCGATGATCGATGGTGGTTGTTCCAGTTGATTTCACTGATTTTTATTTCATAGGGCTGTTCATGTGCCCTTGATGATGATGTGTCTGTTGGTTCATTAGGTTCCTGTTCGGGATTCACTATGGGATTGATCACATTCCTAGGTAGTCCCGATGAGATCCTTTGCCAACAGCCAGCGGGTTGGTCGTTTGGGGTAGATCCTCCCATCGACCGGCACTGCAGGTTGGATCCCCAGTGCTGATCATGCACGGGCTGTGGGCGATCGCTCCCGGGGCCTCAGTTGCTCAAGATGGATCGGTCGATCCACAGGTTTCTTTGTTTACCCCTCTTTGATGATGTTTTTAGGTCGGTTTTAGCTGAGCTCAACTTAGATCGTATAGAGCTATGGCTGTCGCTAGCAGATGATGGGGATGGGGATACGGCAGATCACAAGCTGTGCCTAATCCTGTCTGCTCTGACCCAAAAACAAGAGGTGATGGATCAGATTCTTAGCCGGCTGGATATGGTCAACGTCTTGGCCTCTATGGTGTCCAGATCGACTGAGAAGATCCGCCGTGAGATAGCGGTAGACTTGGGCTATGGGTACGCTGAGCCGGCGTCGATCGGCGCAAAGCGTAAGCCTGTGGCCGGCCCGCTTCCTACGCCAGCTCCTCTGGTAGTCGGAGCCAGACCTTCGAGTCAGGGACCGACCGAGGAAGTTCCATCTATCCAGGTGGTCGAGGCTTCGGAAAGGAAGAAGTGGGGGCTCAGGCTCCAGAAGATCTGCGAGCGCGCAGGTGCAGCCTCTGGGCTCAATGATGCAAAGAGGTGCGCTGGCCTGCTGCCAGCTGAGGCAGCTCGCCTCAAGAGCTTGGCGTTTGAGGCAGGCGGGTTCCGCACCATCAGACAGAATGTTCGTTATTGGGAGAAGTTTGAAGAGTGGTCGATCGGCCACGGACTACGCGTGTACCCGCCCACGATCGTTGCAGTCATGAGATATGCACTGCACCTGCGCGATCAGGGGTGTGGTCCTTCCATTTTGCCTGCGTTCAAGTACGCACTGGGGTGGATATGCAAGAGGCTCGTCATGCAGACCCCGAACATGGCAGATCCACAGCTCAAGGCCATCATAGATGAGGTCTACAATTTGCGAGGCAAGGAGCTCAAGGAGGCGGTCCCAGTGCCGCCGAAGATGGTCCTTGCCTTAGAGCTCCTTTGTATTAAGCTCATCAAGGAGAAGAAGGACGCAGCGGCGATCTTCGTGTGGTGGGCGCTCATCCTTATCTATGCGTCGCTCAGGTTCGACGACGGGATCCATGTGGCCCCGCTATCACTGCAGATGAACCAGGACGCTCTCTTGGGTGTGGTATGGCAGACCAAGGTCGAAAGGAAGAAGCGAGGCACGAGATTCGCAGTGCCCGCATGCTCTATGTCGGACCATGATTGGCTCGAAGAAGGGTGGAAGATCTTCCAGCCGTTCATCTCGGAGAGGGATTACTTCATCTGGGAGATCAAGAATGAGAAAGAGTTCTCTGCTGCTCCTATTTCATACTCGAGAGGGTTGGCTTGGCTCAAGCACTTCATGCTCCTAGGCCTTGCAGAAGCAACCAAGCTCGGCTACGTGGCAGCAAATGAAGTTGATCAACTGGAAGAAAGCATCCAGGTGATCACTTGGCACTCTATGAGAGTCACCATGTTGTCGGAGGCAGTGAAGGCGAATGTTGACGACAAGATCGTCGGCTTACAAGCCAATTGGAAAGATCCGAGCCAGTTGGTCTTGAAGTATGCCCGGCAGCGCAAGGAGCTCTCAGTGGCCATGGTCAAGCAGATGGCGAGCAAGCTCAAAGACGCATGGCTCCCAGACCCTGAGAAGTTCGTCATTGAAGAAGAAGACGAGGAAGTCACGGAACCGGTCGTGACTGAGTTCATCGTCAAGGCAACTCTGCCAGAGAAAGCTCTGGTATCAGCAGATTTTAGGTGCCACATTTTTGATCGTAGGGAATCTGAAGATAGCTCCATTTGTGGCAGACTGAAGATGCTTGATGCCGTCTCGGTCGGAAGCCATGCGCCTGGCATGATCTGCCAGTTGTGCCGTAGCAAGGCTCAGATTTGATGTAGGTCGCAGGCAAGGGAAAACCGGGAGGCAGCCACCAATTTATGTGCTCTCCCTGCGATCATTGTTCATTTGGATCCACATTGATGCTTTATTTTATATGTCCACCCATTTGATTAACTTGAAGAGTTTTGACCTTAATTGCGGCATTTTTGGCCGACGTTGATCAGTTAGGAGTTCCTTGGCATGTTGCACACAGTCGGGTTGATCACGCCTGTACCATGTGCTCTGCCGAGGGACTTTTCTTTTGTCAGGGGTTCAAGTGCCCAACATGGTCGATCGGACCGTCTACGCTGATGATGCTCACACGCCCAAGATCGCGCTTAGGCAAATTTTTGGGCGCATGGGCTTGCCGCAGGCTCTGTGCCGTTCGGCAGCAGATGGCGGGCTGCTCTCTGTGGAAATCTTTGCAATGTTGGGAGACACTGCACAGGCAGTGAAAACCTCGCTCAGGACCATGATCACCGAGGCAGATCTTGGCACGACAGATGCTGCCAGAGAGCTGGCACTGATGCAGCTCGCAGCAGTATGGCATGCATGTCACGCTCTTCAAGGGCAGTTCGCCACCCGGCGGGCGCGCATGGAAGAGGACCCAAACAAGGTTCCGGAAATGGCGCAAGAAGATCATGCTGAGTTCCGAGCGCGGTTTGTTCAAGCCCACCCAGATGTCATTTTGCTGGACGCTAAGGAGCCCCACAAAAAGTTCGTGGAGAAGCTCAGCCGTGATTTCTTGGTTCACGGCATGGTGCCGTACTACTCAGTGGCCGAGATCCGGACACGTTCCGACAGCATAGTGCAGAAGTCGGGGCTCTCCAAGAACGCAGAGGATCTTTTGACGATATCCAAGGCGGACGAACCTGATCAGGTCACTGATTCCATGACCATGATGAACAGGATCCATGCCTTTTTCATGGCCTTGGAATATCTCAACATTTGCACCTATTCTCGTGCGGCTGGCCCACTGCGCTACATGCAGGAGCTCGAGCAATTTCGCTCGGAGTGCCCGGGCCTGCCTTACCTGTTGGCTGCAGACTCTTTGATCAGGAAGAAGGTCAATAGGTTGCAAGCTGAGCAGCGCCAATTGTATGGCACGTTCGAGGACGCCATCATCGAGGTCCTGAACAACCACAAGTACCTTTGGAACGACGCCCGAACCAAGGCAGTTCTTTCCAAAGTCGACCGGCGCAGAGAGGAAGCCAGCGAGACAGGCGACTCGCAAGACAAGGTCGTCGAGGCGGTGCCCAAGAGTTCTCCCAACAAGGAGCGGAAGAAGCGCCAGCGGCTCCGCAACAAGGCGCTCCTTCGCGAAGCAAAGGATTCCAAAGTCAAGAAAGATCCAGCTGACAAAAAGTCAGCTCCAGCAAGAGACGAGAAGGTCAGCAAGGACAAGCGGATCCCAGACACAGAGTGGAAAGCGATCGTGCAAGCCGCTAGCTCAGTGACGGGCCCAAAGCGATGTCACTATTTCAACTCCACCATGGGATGCTCCTTGGGCGACAAGTGCAGGTTCAAGCACCAGTGCATGGTCTGCGGCTCCGCTCACTCCATGGTAGGCAATCACTGAGTTCGGGATCAACCAATGGCTCCATTGGATGAGGTAGAGACGGTTGACAGCAAATTCTGCTCGAATGTTTTTCCCTCGCCTTTTTGGGGCTCCGGTTTTGTGCCATCCGGCACGCAATCTTTCGTCGAGGTCTTCGCAGGGGAGGCAGGGCTGACACAAGCCATCATTGCTCGTGGCATTAAGACCCTGCCCCCTATTGAGATCTTGGCCAACAATTTTGTCGTCGAAGAAGTTGATATTTTGGATCCCAAGGTTTTTCAACATTTGTGCAAGTTAATTCAAGCAGGGTGCATTTTCTTTATTCATTTTGGCACACCCTGCTCTTCTTTTAGCCAAGCTCGCAAAGATGATGGCGGCCCCCCACCGTTGCGTGATCGACACAACCTGTGGGGGCGTCCAGCACTTTCTCAGCAAGATCAAGCAAAAGTCGAGCTTGGTAACCAGTTCATGGACCTCACTGCGAAGCTCTTGGTTTTATGTTGCCAGTTCGGCGTCCATTGGTCGCTGGAGAACCCGGCGACGTCTTACTTGTGGGACATGCCCCCAGTTCGATCTCTGGCGGCTCGTGACGGAGTGGGTCGGTTCAATCTGGACATGTGCAGGTTCCAATCCAAACACAAGAAGCCTACAGCGCTCTTGTCTGATTGCGACCTCAGTGCGCTGGCGCTCTCCTGTGATCGAGACGCGCGGCCTCATGTTCACGAACCCTTAGTGGGCATGGTCATGTCCAAGGGCAAGAAGATTTTCAAAACCAAGCTAGCTCAGGTCTATCCCACGCTTCTATGTCAAGCATGGGCAAAGGTGATCGCATCTCTGCAGGCTGATCCGCTGGCTGCCACCTTCCAGATGGCCGTGCCAGCTCATGAACGGAAACGGCCGCTCGGCCAGCCATTGCCATGGGTCGTGCACAAGCAACGCGCGACAGCAGAGAAAGCTCGTGATGCAGGATACCAGCTCAAGCGTTCGGCTCTACCGCCAATCTTGCAGGTTGAGATGGAACCTGGTCAAGCTGTTCAACAAGCTTTACAAGTTCCCCATCCTTTCACTTTGGATCCAGCGCTTGATCCCGATCTTCAAGAGGCTCTGTCGTTCGTCGTGCATAAGCCTCACCAACTGCTTGGTCATCGGCAAGGTGCTTTACAGTTCTGGGCTGCGCGGGCTGAGCGTCTTTTGCCGCTCACGGATCTGGAGCTCCGTGCTATCCAGGATCCCTACCTGCGGTCGCTACTGCGCGGAGTACCCGATGACCAACCTGTTCAGCTTGGCACGGTCACGCATGTCGCCCTGTGGCGAGAGCTGCTCGCTGCCAGTCGATGTATTGACAGCTCATTGGTGGACGAGATGATCAATGGCTTCTCCATCGTCGGCGACATCAAGCGCTCATTTCGTTGGCCGCGATTGCCGCTGCCAGATGATGCTCTTCCAGAACAAGATCTTGTTTCGAGGGCCTGGGAGTTTTCCAACAAGGTCTTGCGGAACGTGAAAAGATCCGAAGTCACAGAGAACACCTCCAAGATCTGGGAGGCGACTATGGAAGATGTTCGAGAAGGTGTTACAGCAGGTCCTTTCTTCTCTAAAGACGAGGTCGACAAGTTCCTCGGCACTGAAAATTGGATCCCTACTCAGCGGTTCGAAGTGGTGCAGAAGAACAAGGTCAGAGGTGTGGACAGTGCCACGATCAATGGCATCAACATGGCGTCCAGGATCCTGGAAAAGATCGAGCTGCCATCTACAGATGCGAACGTGTCTGCTTTGAGGTGGATGAGGTCATCGTGCTCTAGCTCTACAAAACTGCAGGGGTGGGTTCTGGACGAAAGAAAAGCTTACCGCCAGATTCCTATCCACCCTGATCATCGGAGATGGAGCGTGATCTCGCTCCGCGAACCTGACACAGGGAAGATCTCATTTTTCGTCATGATTGGTCATTCTTTTGGATTGGTAGCGGCGGTCTACAATTACAATCGTAGATCTGCGGCTATTACTGATATACTTCGTAGGGTCTTTTTCGTGGCGGCTTTCAACTTCTACGATGATAAGTACGGGTTCGAAACCGAAGTCACCTGCTCTTCAGCCTTCGAGATTGCTCAGAAGGTTCACTGGTGGCTAGGTGCCAAATTCGATCCCAAGAAGCTCCAGCTCTGCGAGGACCCCACGATCTTGGGGGTGACCTACGATTTGAAAGCTATGTGCCTGAAGATCAAACCTTCGAGAAAGGAGGAGCTGCTGGACGAGATCAAGTCTATCCTCTCCTCCGAGACCTTGTCGCCTGGACAAGCAGGCAAGTTGCGCGGCAAGCTCATGTTTGGCGCTTCACAGTTGTGGGGGAAGATCGGCAGGGCCTTTCTGAGAGCTCTCTCAGAGAGGCAGTACACGAGATCGCCCAAGACTGGTCTCAACCTTGCTCTAAAGCTCGCGCTGAAACAGTGGGAGCTGCTGATCGATCATGGACCTCCAAGACCTATCACTGCATCGGGCGCTCGACCTGCTGACTACGTCATTTTCACAGATGGCAGTTTCCCCGATCAGGAGAGCGACTTGCAAGATCCTTGGATTGGCGGCGTGTTGTTCAAGAAAGGCGCCAGACCGATCCAGTTTGGATGCAAAGTGGGCATGGACTTGATTGATAAGTGGATCCCGCGGAAGTCACAGATCGCCATGGTGGAGCTCTTCGCTACGGTCGTGGCGCTCCAGACTTTCAAGCCCTGGATCTCCAACTCTTGGTCCCTGCTCTTTGTTGACTCTGAACCTGTTCAAGGCGCGTTAGTGAAAGGTTACTCTGCACGTGAAGATCTTTGCGAATTGGTAGGAGTGTTTTGGAAATTGGCTCTTGATGTTCACATTAATCTGTACATCGATCGAGTCCCTACAGATTCCAATCCCGCTGATCCACCATCTCGTAGCAGATTAGGCATTGGTCATTCTCTTGGATGGGATACTATATCAGCGGTTTTTCCTGATCTCTAGGCGGCGTGGGTCAGACAGAGATCATTCTGTGGTGAGGTTTTATTTATTCGTGCTGAAGGAGTTGATTTACTCCTTGTTTGCATGTGTGATGTTTTGTTTATTTTCATCTGGGGTCGATCCCCCCAGCATCGATCTGATGGGCTGATCCACCCATCTTCATCCTCAATCACCCACGTCTCCAGAGGATGAAAAGTTTGCTCAGCAGCCGAGTGCAGTGCATGTGTTCACATGCACGTCGTTGAACTGTGATTGGGTCACTTATCTTCGGTTGGTAGGTCAGGGATAAGTGGATCAATGTTACAGTTCTTGGCACTGGATGCGACTGATCTTCTTTTTCTATTTTATTTGTTGTACCCGATCGGGTTCAGTTGATGTGATTTGAATTGTTGTGATCACAACATTGAGGTTGATCATCTCAGTTGAGCCAATGGCACTGACCAGTTCTTGGTGCCATTTTGGCTCAAGATCTGATCAGTGATTTCATTTGGGATTTGTCCCACCCACCTCTAGCCCCATGATGGTTTTTCATTGCCATTATGCGGGTTGGAGGTTTTAAAGGGTGTTCACTCTTTTGATCGGCAGAGTGGTGCGATGTGATTCTGGAGTTGATTACTCCCTTTGCGATTATTTTGATTTTCATTCAGTTTATTTGAGGGGTCGAACCCCACTGGGTCAGACAGAGATCATTCTGTGGTGAGGTTTTATTTATTCGTGCTGAAGGAGTTGATTTACTCCTTGTTTGCATGTGTGATGTTTTGTTTATTTTCATCTGGGGTCGATCCCCCCAGCATCGATCTGATGGGCTGATCCACCCATCTTCATCCTCAATCACCCACGTCTCCAGAGGATGAAAAGTTTGCTCAGCAGCCGAGTGCAGTGCATGTGTTCACATGCACGTCGTTGAACTGTGATTGATATATATATATATACGTATATATATATATGTATATATATATATACGTATATATATATATATATATATACGTATATATATATATACGTATATATATATAAATATACGTATGTATATATATATACGTGTATATATATATATACACATAATATATATATAATACATATATATATATATATACATACATGTATAGTTGATTTATATAGCTATAAATAGCAGTAAAAGATTGTTATTTTCCATAGCTAGTAGGTCCTGGGAGTCCTGGAATACTCCTGGCCATAGTGGTGTCATGGTCCATGAGTCCATGGCACCTGGGATCTATATCAGCTGTTGCTTCAATGTCATATATGTTCCATCCTAATCAATGGCCATTTCAGGAACCGATTTATTGGAGGTACCTACCATATATATATATATCTATATATATATATATCTATATCTATATCTATATCTATATATAAGGCCTATGTAAGGGAATATCCCTAGAAAATATGGCCTTATATGGTACAGTACCTCCATTTTAGGATCCTGGAATTCTCATTGACCTAATGTCAATTGCTGGGAATCCATTGACAAATCTTCAGGGTTTAAACCGCAGAGCAGTAGTCTTTGATATGGCCATGGCAAGGCCCGTCCGTAAGGGTACGCTCCGGTGTCAAACATGGCTGGAAAATGCCTCATAGTTCGATGATTTTCCCGGCGAAACTCAACATCCATGAAGGTTCGGCGATTTTTTTTGATGACATTGGAGGGCAAATCCTCTTAATTCTTCATTAAATCCTATCAAAGCGTACTAATACTGAACGCTCTGTACATCTATGTACTATGGCTATAGGCTGTATATCCGTAATTACCATGTCTGACAATGTCTTGATTCTTATTATCCCATAACAAATCCCCATGTCCAGGGATGACCATTGGGCGGTAGATCAGCACTGAAGGAGGTGGGAAGATTGGATGATCACTGTGTATTCTCAGGCTATTGGCTATCCTTTTGTGGCTAACATAGCGATTGTTCACATCACTTTGTTTTTGATACAGATCATATATATATATATATGGCTGCAAGTCAAAATGTAAAGCCCCGATCCATACCCTGATCCCACAGGCCGATCCATACCCCCCATCCATACCAAAACGCAGGTGATCCAGAGCGATCCATACGTCTGGATCACTGGGGGCCGATCCATACCCGAATTTTGGCGCAACCCCATATATATATATATCATTTAATTTATGTTTATAGTTATTTAGATATAAATGGGCTATTTTACTATTTTCCATAACTATGTCAAACTGTCTGAGGGTATCTCAGGGTGCCGAAATCTCTGGGAAACTCAATACCATGAACAACTACCATGACTGGGGATGGTGAACATCCCATTAAAAAATGTGATGACCTGGGGATGGTTTATGCCGGTTTACCAATTGGGTCAGGGGAAATTCTGCAGCTTTCACCCTGTTTTGTTTGATGGTCAAAACAGCAGGATTCCATCAATTCCTCGTTTGATATCATCAAATCAATCCTATTAAACCCCCACCCTCCTGACAGGGTTTATACCATGTTGTCCATATGATACTCATTATGATACAAATTCTCCAAATTTATGGTTTATATGAACATGGGATGATAATGGGTATATCTTGAGCAGAGTATATATATATATCCTAATAAATGCCATTAAACCCGGTGACACTAACTAAACAATATGAGTATGTATATATATATACACATCCCAATTGATCGGATTATCATATCCATTCTCCCATGTTATACCCATTTCCACTAAAGATGTCTAAAGATCCTATTACTAGTAAAAAAAAACGCACCTATTAAGACGAATAAACTCTCGATTGATCTCATCACGAAAGCTTCCCGAGGTGAAGCTCTGCTTCGTAGGCCATGCGCGCGCGGGGAAAACTTCTACTCTACTGGCACTAGCGGACAAACCCTTCGATTGCCTGCAGCCGAGACTTGAGCTGAGCTGGGTAGCTTTGTTTTTTTTTGGTGCTATGAAAATCAGCATCCCCTCCCCAAAAAGTTTGGGAATATTCCATGGAAAATAGTGGCAACTTACTAATAGTAATTACTAAAATAGTGGCACATGACTTTTTCCATGATTTTTTTGGGTTACTGTCCTGGTAATGTTGATGTTCGTCTGGCCATTGATGGGATAATAGGGGAATGACACTGGATGATCATAGAATAGTAATTAATGATGATGATATTGATAGTATTGATAGTGGTGCTATACTTCTGTGTAAACTACAACGACCTCACTGCGACGTCACGGCATAAATTAGGGGGACTATCCCAAAATGGGCACACAGTTCATGTAGGGAATGATTATTATCCAGAATACTAGTTGTGTGGTAAATCCTCATATAGCCATAAACCTTTGGTGGATATGGTTTCTATGTGTATATATATATATATATACACATACACACATTGCATGTAGTATATGTTCCGTATTTATGTTATTACATATATGTTTTACTCATATATGATATGTTACTTATATATATATATATGTGACTCATGTATCTTACTCATATGTGTTACTTGTATATGTTGCCTCTCTCTCTCTCTATATATATATATACATACACTTATTGTGAATATGTACATGTATATACACATTCAAAATATGTATTCATATATATATATAATTATACATCTTAATATTCTACTAACCCCGAACATGATGAGACAACATTTTGTACCAAAGATTGCAAGTGGATGTAAACAAATGGGTGTGTCTGAATATGTGCTGTACTTCCCAGAACAAAACAGGATGTCTCTTTGCGGATCAGAGTTATGATATCGAGACCCATTTCGCGTGGCCTGCATGGTGGATCGAAGTTATTGGACGTTTTATTACTCGTTTGATTGGTGCTTTGGTGACCATGTTCACTTGTCTTCCCTCGAAGTATGGAATCAGTTGATCACTATGGAATCAGCTGCGTTGGTGGCTTCAGCGGGATTTCTCCTTGCAAGTTGGGCGCTTAGATAGCTAATTTGGTTTTTCTTTCGTGAACTGCAAGGTTATTTATGGCCCACATATATCTATATGAGCATGTATGTATTAACATGTATATATATATATATGTATGTACTGTACTGTACTGTTATGTTATGTTACGTTACGTTATGTTATGTTATGTTATGCTATGTCATGTTATGTTATGTTACGTACGGATATGCATACGTATGTATATATATATATGAACATACTTAATGGGGTTTATAAACCTACTTATAAGAACAAACACCACCTCACGTGGAAAGCAACAATGACAGCTGGCAGGAGCACCCATGGTGTGGACACCTGCGTGTTGGCCAATGAGTCGCTTGTTGTCGCATGACCCTGAGGATGGTGCCCAGTTATGTGAATGTTGCTTTATAAACTCCATGAACTACAGTTATATCTACCAATAAACCATAGAATTCAGCCACTTATAAAGTCTTTTTTTAGGCGTTTCTGAACGCTATCGCTCAAACGGGGGCCCCATCCTGTCAGGTTTATCATATTTTGGGGGCAAAAATTTGGCATCTTTGAACTGATTTGGCCATCTCAGGGTTCAGGTTCCATGAACAATTCTTAAGGTGTTTCTAATGAGTTCCGAAATAAGCTAGGATGGCCACCCCCAGTGTCTTCGGTTGCACATCATACAACTGCAACCTTTCCCACCTGCGCATTTGTTTTGTTCTTTTGGGATTGGCTAGATACAGTTTCGCTGGGTGTCCATTGTTTGGTCCGTAGATTTGCCTACAATAGGTCGTACGAAGTCATGTCTTCATTGTTGATTTTCGTTGCTCAAGTCCTCCTCGTGTTTTTGTGTGATTCAAATGGAGGTTTCCTATATTTTCGGGCTACCCCGTAGCCCTAAATCCATCCATGTTATTTTTGGATCCATTGTAAACCATCCATCCATTTATTGGGGGCTACCCCATAGCCTCGCCCAGCGGTGACCCTCAAAAAAAATCCCCCCAGGCTCCTGATCTCTCAGCAGAAGGCGCTTGAAAAACGCGTGAAACACCGTGAATCATATGGGAAATGATGATCAGTTGACCAAGAAATTGAGGGATGCCATGGGGATATCACTGGTGATACCATGGGGATGCAGAAGCAAGCATGTGCTATATATATATGTATATATATATAATATATGTATATATATAATATATGTATATATATATGTATATATATATATATGTATATATATATATGTGTATATATATATATATGTGTACATACATATATATACATATGTATATAATATATATATATATATGTATATATATATAATATATATATATATGTATATAATATATATATATATGTACAGGTATAGATAGATATACAGTGTATATACTGTATATAGATATGGGTTCGTCTGCAACTGGGACCCCCAAATGTAAGTTTAAGATTGAACATGACCTAGGGGATTTTGGGGTACCCATGGTGATCTGTGTGATGTGAACCAGCTGTATAGTATCTCAACAAACCAGTATTGACAATCCATTTACCCTCTGGTAAACTAACATAACTATGGAAAATCACCATTTTTAATGGGAAAACTCACTATAAATGGCCATTTTGAATAGCTATGTTAGTTTACCAGAGGGTAATCTGACACTATATAACATACCAACAAGAATCTGATATCCACTGAGTTGGCTGTGTTGGTGATGCCAGCAATCGAACGTCAATATGACCCTAACATTGTTGCTCTATTAAGGCAACGATTATCCAGGTGTTTTCCGCATAGAAACTACCGAACATGCCAAATTTCTCGCAACTTTTCCCCAATAGAAACCATACAATGCCAACTCAAGACAGTATCAAGTTTTATACCATGCCGGCCAAACAATGCTCTGAAACAGTCTAAAATTCAAAAAAAAGTAGAACAAGAACACAAACATGCCATTGAAACACATTTTGAAACTGTATGACAATTGTCTCTAAATATTTTACAAAAGTACTAGAAAACCATGTACCATCCATTCAAATCCATAAAATATCGCCGTTGTGCCAGGCTGTGGACGGCGATGGCGACCTGTGGGGCGTCCTGGAAGGCAGCAGCGTCCGGGAGCTGCTGCAACGGGGCGTGGCCAAGGGGCTGGCGGAGCAGCTCACTCCCTGGCCACTTGCTTCAAATATGGAGATTTGGAATCAGATTATATGGATGTGGGTCAAAATGGAAGACCTAGGGGACCACAGATGTTAGTCTAGTTTAGTATTAACCATCCAATTATTGGGGTACCTAATTTTGACCCATACCCATATAGTAAATAACTATAGAATATAGAATATCTATAGAATAACTATGGAATCACATATGGGGGTTTCCGACAATTTTGGAATATATCATAATTATAGAATAACTATTGGAATCAGGATATATCATAATCCTGGACCTTCCACATTCCCAAATATAGAAGAACTATAGAATATCTATAGAATAACTATAGAATCACATATCATTGTATCATGATATACATGTATATACAGTAGATGTACAATATATGTATATCATCATTATAGACTAATCATAGATGATTGTAGAATATAATCATAGAGTAAACTATAGAAAGTGTATTATTATATGTATATACATGTATATGATATATGTATATAATGATTCTGGTAGTGGACTATGATAATTCGCCCAGGATTATCATGGAGATTTGGTATCCGAACATTATTGACTTACCCATATGGAGGCTTCTAGAAATTTCTGGGATCCCCAAGTCACCAAGGGTTTCAATACTAAGTCATGGTCATCCATGACTTGGATGATTTGGGGGTACCCCGATTTAGGAAACCTTCATATTTTATATAGTCATCATATCATCATGTAATATGGCAGATAAATCATGATCATAATTGAATATATATATATTGTTATAATATATGGGCAAATCTCATAGTGACCTCACGCCGTGACCTTTCACCCTGGAATCATGGAGAGTTGGCCGCCATGGAATGTGGGAAATTACAATCTATGGGACATAGGAAACGACCAATAAAGATAGATGACTATGGGATTTACCAAACAAACAATCTGACTGAAGGAAAAGCTTAAACAACGAGCAAACAATGCTTAAAATGAGTTTCAGACCAAAGATTTTTACTGATTTTTTGATTTTCTGGTTTTCTATACTTGTGAAGAAGCATCTTTAGGTTCAGCTACGGAATTGCGTGATTCTTTTCTAGGCTGCGGATGGTTAAACTAGACATACTTATAACTATATATATAATTATATATATATACATATATATGGTGCACCCATGCAATGCAAAACCACAAAATGTAGAAGCACAAACGGTAGACATTTGGGGACGGGGTGCTATTTATGTGTAATATATATATATAGACGTGTATAGCAACGAGGATGCAATGGGTATGTAGTGAAAAAAACATAGGGACATAGTTGGCTCCTTGGTCTTACCTTGGCCTGAGGTTGGTATCATAGAACCCCCGTAAAGAATCCAATGGGTTCAACATCCAAGACCCCGAGTCGCTAGAGATTTCGGCAATTTCTAGTCACTAACCGTACAGTTGTGGATAAAATCCCATTAAAACCCCATTAACCCCCATTAAATCCCATTAAATCCCATTAAAATCCCTTTAAATCCCAGGAGTTCAGGGTGTGAAGTGACCCTGCTTAAAACTAGCTGCTCTGCGGGTACTGGGCCAGTACCAAATGGGTTGGCTCTCAGGAAAGATCAAAGTCAGAAAGAAACTGGCAAGGACACGCTGCTGGAGCGCGGATTGGGTCCATCACCATCCTATATGGTTTTGTGAAAATAGGCTACCTCAAATTGTGATAAACTTTGGTGGTTCAAGTTCAAATTTAGTGCTTTATCATCGAATTCTGCCATCAAATGGCTGCAGCAAGTGGGGTATACCCCATGTTTGGACGAACCCAGGCCTTGCCTTCCGGTAAACAAACATCCCAATTCAAAATTCCCGAACTAAATGGAGACTTTTAGCTGGGAAAATCAAGTAGAAATTGAGGAGTTTCCAGCTAGCTATGTTTGATGACACCAGAGGGTACATCAATCATATATGATATACGATACAGATATGTAGTTGTGGATTATTGTGGATTGTTTCTGACTAATTATATATGAATCTACGGACAAGAAATGGATGAGGGCAATTCATTAGTGACCATGAATCACCATTGATCACCATTCTCAGGCATGATTAACCATTACTAACCATTAATCTGGGTAAATTATAGTGACCTCACTGTGACCTCACTGGAATCATGGATAATATATATATATAGTATATTATATTATATATAATATATTATATATATATTATATATATATAATATAATATAATATAATATAATATAATATAATATAATATAATATAATATACTATAATATAATATAATATAATATACTATACTATAATATAATATAATATACTATACTATACTATACTATAATATAATATAATATAATATAATAATATATATATATATACATATATGTATAATATATATATATATGTATATATATATATATATATGGGGAATCATCCCCATAGCTGGCCGCAAGTTTCAGGCTAGTGAAAGATCATCGTTTACCCAGATTCCCGATTCTCCATTGGGCGCACTGAGCTTTTTTTTCCATCGGAGAGCATGGCATTTGTTTGGGGGGGGCCATTACAGTGTTCCATACAGGATGGGGCCCCTAAACCATTATAACCCCCATGAACTAGTTCGTTACATCTACCATAAACCATAGAATTTAGCCACTTTTTTTTTTAGGCGTTTCTGAACGCTATCGCTCAAACGGGGGCCCTTAGGCTGTAGGAATCCCAATAGGCATCCCGGTGCAGCCATCCAAGGACGTTGACGTTGCGGCGAAAGCATCCGGGTCTGCCTCGAGCTCCAAGGAGGCTGAGTTATGGGAACATCAAACTAAATCGACCATTTTCCAGCAAGCCACATGAAAAACTGCCCGTACTCTTGCAACATCATAGAGATTCAAGCAGCAAAAACTGGGAATTAAGACTTATTACTAGCCAATGAGAAATAGCATGCATTGGGATTTAACAAATGGTTTCATCAACAAAAACTGGGACTTGATCATTTAAGATGAGGATATGGCTGTGTTAATCCCATGGAACCAGGGTATCTATCCAGTACCTTCAGGAGTCAGCGCAGAAATCAATAGAAATACATAGGAAACAGGGAACAACAGAAAAAGGCACAGGCAAGATAATTATTGACCACCAATATATCATGTGCGAAATGACCAAGCAATTCTACATATGTATATACAAATAAATATATATATATATATACACATAATATTTGGAAATCTTTGGGCGTCTCTTGAACTGACCGGAAGAATCACTGAGAGTTATTCTTGTCTATTGCATTATCTTGCGGTCTTTCTCCTGCGTCAACCTGTTAGTCCGTCTTATGTCATCTAGGTCTATGCCAACCTTCACGCCGCACACTTTAGACATGTTGAAGATGAACCATCGAATTTGAGGTAGAATTTTGACCATAGCCAAATAGCCATTGAAATTTTTGAAACACCTCGTATCACAGAAACTACATGGTACAGTTTTGTTGGTTGCTTCCCCTTTTTTTTGGTCGCCCTGCAGCCTCAGGTGGCACCAGCCCCAGCCAGTGCTGTGGATGCTGGCGGAAAAACGGGTCACCATTTCTCGAATTTGGGTGAGATGCTGGAAATCACCAAGATGCCGACCAATTTGGTGCTTGGATGTCCAATCGGAATCGGAATCGCCGTGAAAATATATGTGTACCCTCTGGTAAATTAACATAACAATGGAAAATCACCATCTTTAATGGGTAAATCCACTACAAATGGTGATTTTCCATAGTTATGATAGTCATTACCTCTGGGGTATTTAACATTATTCAACTCATAGAAAAAAGGAATCGTCAGCGATTTTATATGCATTTAAGATCATTTAAGATTATTTAACTTATAAAGTCATTTATCTCAAAAAAGCCTAGAACCCCAGTTGGAGGGGATCACTTGGTGATTGGTCGGTCAACGCAGCGAATTCATGGAATACCTAAGAACAAGGTGAACAAATTGCATAACACTTAGGACTTAGGAAGAGTTTTGGTGAATGTGTTGGTAGGAGAATAACCCAGTCGTTATGATCCTATGAGGTTGGCAGCACATGATGGAATCTATGACTACGACGGCTAGTAGCGATAATGGGGATATCCACAAACAAATGTGTAATTCAACCTCGAATTCTCGCGATTTACTTTTTCATAGGTGTCTGGTGCAAACAGTGGGTATTCTGAAGGAAAGGCAAGTGAAGACTGTGGGAACACCATCACATCCGGTGCTTCAAAGCCTCATTTTTCAGACTTTTTTTTTGAGCCCGATGGGCCCCATTGTTCAGACAAACATGACAAATAAATTCATAGATCCACAATTCAAAGCCACAAAGATTCTGATCAGGGAATAGGTGAAACACCCCAGGTGGCAAAAGCAATGTCTCAAACTTCCGCAGAGGACGGGGATCGGCTGGGTTGACGGATCCTGCGATCAGCAGATGCTTTCCATTTTCCACCCGCCACATTTGCAAATTGGAACATCTCTCCACATCTCCCCATGAAACCTCGTAACATATTTCCATGTGTCAGTTTCCAAACCAAAAAAACCTCTGCTATGAAACATCCAGATTTTCTAACCATTCCCATCTCCTTTACCCCAGGATTTTTTCCAAGCCACCAGGCTTTTACCTTTTACCCATCAGCTCATGCCCGCAGGAACCGGATCAGGTGGTTCTTCAAACCTGGGACTTTGCGGGACAAGAGATGTACTATTCGATGGCGCACATCTTCATCACGGCGCCAGGTGCATCCACATTTTTTTGAGTGGTTGGATGTGTGCCACCAGTAGATTACCCTCTGGTAAACTAACATAGCTATTGAAAATGGCCATTTATTGTGAGTTTTCCCATTAAAAATGGTGATTTTCCATAGTTATGTTAGTTTACCAGAGGGTAAGAGGGGGTGTATAGTTTCATACTGCAAAATCGTGTGATGAAACGCACATGGACCATTCAACACATGGTTTTTCAGAGGCTTTGATCTCCGCAAAGAATAGCCAAATACACTGAATTACCCTCTGGTAATTTAACATAGCTATGGACAATCACCATTTTTAATGGGAAAATCAACTATAAATGGCCATGTTCTATGTCGCTATGTTAGTTTACCGGGCCGGGTACCTGGAGTTACTCTCCTCAACTCCGGTGTCCTCGGATTCACCGTCGACAGCTGGAGGCATCTACGTCCTGGTGATCGACCTCAGCAGCTGGTTGGAAGCCGCCTCCATGCCCGGAACCATGTGCTCTGATGGCTTGCCTTTGGAGCTCTCCGAGCCCCGGACGAGCGCAAAAGGGCGTGAAGCAACAGAAATGGGGATTCAACGAAATAGGCTATGGCAATCTATTAAACCCTCTGGTAATTTAACACTTTGCTATTGAAAATGGCACATAGAAATATCAAAACGCAAAATCTGGTACCTCTGCCATGGTACCTCTAGAGGGTCGACTAAATTAAGCTTAAATAGGGCTAATAGTTGATTTACCATGATTTACCTATGAAACATGGTGATTTACTATTTGTTTGATGTTTTTTTGTCTGTTTACCAGAGGCTATCTAAGATCAAAACACATCACAACAGCATCGAGGACTCGTTAGATTTCTGGCTGGCCGCTGTGTTGGTCCACGCCCCTGATGCGCGCTTCATCATCGTGGGGAGCCATGACGCCTGGCGGAAGATCTGGGGCCAAAGGTGATTGGAAGATTCATTGGATCTGATTTGACAGCTGGAAATGATGGAAGATGGCATCAAATAGCCTATAAAATGATGTTTTAACATGTTTTAACATGTTCGCCCCAACCCGGACGTTGCTCCACACTTACAATCGTCATGATCATGATCATGATCATCATCATCATCATCAGCACCAGCACCAGCACCATCACATCATCACATCATCATATCATCACATCATGATCATCATCTCATTAAATTTCGCCACCCCCTCTGAACAATATGTTGACTGGGGTAATAACATCAACTTTATCTTCATGAGGGATCAAAATTCGCCACCCCCTATGAACAATATCTTGATTGGGGTAATAACATCAACTTTATCTTCATAGCCACCTGAAGTCAGACGCGGCGCAACGTCAGGGTTGCAGCGATGTTTTTTATCATGTTTTGACGGTGGAATTCTATACTGTATACGTTTGTATAATGCGTCGAACATCGTCGAACTGTAGCTGACCAAAGGTTGCATTCCTCCTGAGCCGCGGCTTTGAGGATGATATGATTCCTCCAGACTTGTCTCCTGTGGTACGTTCTCGAGTCAATGCATATCTGCAGCAACGGCTGGATAACCCTGCCTTCCACTCTCGACTTTTTGTGAACGAGGAAGAACAGTTGCTTGGCACCAAGATGCGCTGGAGCCAAATAGCTATCTTCAGAGTTTCGAACGTTTTGGATTTGGAAGACAAGGTGTACCCTCAGGTAATGGCAATGGGAGACTTCTCCATTTCTTTCGCCAGGATTGAGCTTGAGGTGGGTGACTCTCGTCATCTTGCAAGGGGAAATATATGGTTGATATATGTTGATATATTGATATTATCGGATGTCTCTTCAGAAATTTAGGAATGACATTCTTTTTGGGAGATACTGCCCTGACATGCCCTGCCCATTCAGTGAGATAAACCAGGGAAGCCCATTGGATTTTGATGTTCAGGACCCGAACGAGTCGTAGGGAGATGCGGCAACCACCCCCATGGAGGTAGATGATTTGTAACTTTTTTCCGGATAAATTCACCGGTAATTTACATGAGAAATACTATTGCAATCCTACAATTTCCCATTTAGGGTAATAATATGTAATCCATTTGTAATCATCCTCATCCAACTTTGAAGTCATTTGAAGTCCATCCTAACTTGCCATTCAGGACGATGAGAATGTGGCTATACGTCCCATCTCTTGTTGGTTTGACAGTAATGTCGACCCTGGATTAATAAACCCCAAACGGCTGTTTAATTGGGAGGGTACCATTTAAGTACTAGATTATGACTATTGGAGGAGTACCCCCCAATTAATAAACCATGGTTTATTAATCCGTTGTTGACAGTACCCAACAACCCAACCGTCATCAATCACCGATCGGCACCTCAAATATCAAGCTGTGGAGCTGCAGACCTGCCAATTTTCCCTGAAAATCGGCTCAATTCCAAAGGATTTCATGGATTTAATGGGATTGTGGCCACGATTAATGGAGATTTAATCCATCAATTCCAATGGTGATTTTAATGGAGATTTTTCATGGGATTGTGGCCACGATTTTATGGATATCCTGGGATTGCCATGGATATTTTATTATATTTTACCCAGTTGTTTTTTGTTTTTTTGAAGAGACCGTAGTACATCAAAGTAAACCCCAATTGTTCGCAAATCCAACCATCACCCACCTGATCAATCGTAAACCGGCCAATCTATTCTAAGAAACACCTAAGCTACAGAAACGCATTTGCAACCTATATACCCATCACCTAAAAGGTGTAGGCCTCCTAAATAGCTAAGTTGATTTATAGCATTAATAACCACTATAGATACTAATATATAGGCGTTGTGGTTTTTGGATGTTTATGGTAAATATGTAAATATATCTGCGACTAGTTCATGTTTTTTTTGTAAACCAACAAGCGTGTATCAAAGGGGGGGCAGCGTGCAATCATATTTGGTTACTGTAGTTTTTTTTTAACATCCGCATTAAATTCCAATATTGTTGGGGCATATCCCCATATTAATGCTTAATATCTTTGAATATATGAAAATTTTTCATTCATTCCAAATCAAGTCTTCATATTTATAGCATTTTATAGCATTTTATAGCCATTCTTGAGAAATATCCCCATGAAATGAGCATTTTCCCCCTTGGTTTGGCACAGGTTGCTCTTCTTCCCCGTGGACAACAGCCGTTCCACCGTCGCGGCGCGGCAGGGCCTAGCGCGGCTACGGAAGATCTTGGATCAGCTGGCGCTGGAAGCGGCAGAGGCCGGAAATGACATGGAAGGGATGGAACATGGTTGTGTTTTATGGAGATTTCATGGGATTTCATCCAGATTTCATAGGGTTTTATGGAGATTTCATGGGATTTCATCCAGATTTCATAGGGTTTTATGGAGATTTCATGGGATTCATCCAGATTTCATAGGGTTTTATGGAGATTTCATGGGGTTCTATGGAGATTTTAATGGGATTTAATGTGAAAAAATCCAGTGGTTGGAGGGGAACTAAGGAGCTATGGTTATCTATATATAACTGCTTTAACATGGGAGCCAGTTGGAGCTATTACCCTCTGGTAAACTAACATAACTATGGAAAATGACCATATTTAATGGGAAAAACCACTATAAATGGCAATTTTCAATAGCTATGTTAATTTACCAGAGGGTATTGGTATTCTATTGTGATTTAAGCAACAACATGGGGATATGAATGGGAAATGCCATCTGGCAAACCAAGATTAGTTTATAGGGGAGAAGCCCAAGGTCTAATATGGCTAATACTAAGAAAATGTGGCGAACATCTGAACAATGATCATTTTGAGCCATTGTAGTTAAGCAGTTTGCGAAATGGATGAACGTGGCCCATTTGTTTATCTGATTTACCCCTCAAAAGCAGTGGCTTTCCATAGCTATGTTAAATGTATAGTTATATCATGTTATATCATATATAGAAAATATAGACATGCCGATATTGCAAGCATACTATCTATCTATACATTTTATCGTATTATAATTTGACTAGAAATGATAAGTACTCCACAATCCTATCCGTTTTTAGTTCAATGAACTCTTGGTTGATGGTCTTAATGGGATTATATTAATTACACCGACACACACACACACATGAAGATCTAGAACATCTTGGAAACAACGGGTAACACATGGCAACACCCAAAAACCATCATTCCAGTTTTGTAATATTTTAACTCAAGCAAATGTTGTGAAATCACATACGGTTGATTTTTTGCACTGGGAGAAAAGTATGGTGATTTCACCAATGAGAGGAATCAGATATTTCTGCAACACAGCGTCATCATCATTTTACTATCGAATCTTTACTGGTTGGTGGTTCGGAACATTTTTATTGTCCATAATATATGGGATAATCCTTGCCATTGACTAATATTTTTCAGAGGGATTGAAACCACCAACCAGTTTAGGATGTGCAAAACCAACAAACATATTGAAGCTATCAGAACGGTCTCAACCAACACCAAGAGATATAAAACTGTGGATGATTTATGATGATTTGACAACGCAACTTCCAAATCTATTCTGACCCAAACGTGGTTCATGTTCAACCCCAATTCTGGGAGAGAATACTCTGAAAAATGTGTGTGTTCCTTTCAGGTATTTACCCAAAATATGTAAGATATCTTAAATGAAATGAATTAAATCTTAGATTCCGAAATGACATATAACATGTATATATATACACTGATGATATTCTGATGATAATTTACATCATTTACTGTATCCAAGATGAACCTTACCAAAGATAGGTCAAGGATGGTCAAATGGCACGCCAGGACGCGGGGTGGATTCCAACCCGCTGGGCGCAGTTCTTTACCGTCATGGCTGGCGAGAACGGCGTCAGGACCAGTGAATTTGGGTGGGAGGTTGGGTTGGCCATGGTGGATACACACATTTCATGAACATTGGCCATGTTGTCTATGAATCATCTATCAATCAAATATCTCTCATAATCTATGAATTCTGAATCAATTGATGTTGGGTGATCTTCCATTTGATTCATAGATATTTTTTCATATACATTTACAAACATCAACGGACCAGTCACCAACGAGGTTGTCCAAAGTCACGGGGCATGATACTTAAAACATCCCTAGGTGTTAAACGATTTTGAGTATTTCAAATATAAATTTCCGGCACTAAACATTGCCATTTTGGTGAATAATTTATTTTTGGATGTTGGCCACGGATGTTCGATGTGAACCCATATTTGGCGGAGTTTCGGGTGGATGTTTTGCTCAAGATTACCATGCATGGATGAGATGTAGGCAAAGATACCATGGATGAGATGTAGGATATGGGGGTTTCCTAAGTCATGGGTGTACCCCCAGTTATCATCCATTTTAGGGGTTTTCCATGAAACAAACCATCCAGCGAGCTTGGGGTACCCCCATTTATGGAAACATCCATATAGAATCGAATGTGACCTGTGACCTTGGTCCTGGTTTTTTCGGTGAGGCGGTATCTGGATAGAATTGAGGTTCCATGGTCCCATATCCCGCCGGGTGTGAAGTTGGCTAAAAATGTAGATTAACTTAGGGTTTATAGTGGTTATATGCAGTTTTTTCAATATTTAATGGTGATGAATGGTGTCTATAAGAAGCATCTTATAACTGTGGGGCAGCGCCTTTTACCCTTTAGCAATCCAATATGGGAATCAAAACTATGGGAAATTTGATGGATCTGCCATGCACTTCGCATTTCAGGAGGCCATTTGTGACACTTGAGGAGTCTCTTTGGCTTGGCAGTAGTGAATTGGGTGAGTGATGCAAAAACACGGAAACTGTGAACAAATCAATATAGACCCGTGAGTTCTCAAGTTCGATTGGGAGGTGGAGTTGCTCATTCAATTGGATCAGAACTTATGTAAACATTTCAGTCCACAAAACTCCAATTATGATATTTCGCAATTTGATAGAACCTGAATATTCCCTGAATAATAAGCAACCTTGTCTGGTTGGTGGTTTGGAACATGGCTTTTATTTTCCATTTCATATATGGAATAATCCTTCCCATTGACGAACTCATATTTTTCAAGATGGTTTTTGCACCACCAACCAGTAAGATAGCTATGGAAAGTGGCCATAATAATAGTTGATATACCAATTTAATCATTAAAAATGGTGATGTTCCATATTATATTATATATATATATATTTATATATATTGTATATATATTATATATATATTATATTGTATATATATTATATATATATTATATTGTATATATTATATATAATATATTATATATATTATATATATTATATATATAATATAATATAATATAATATAATATAATATATTTAATATAATATAATATATACAATATAATATACACATATATATTATATACAATATAATATATATATATTTATAATATATATATATATTATATTGTATATAATATATATATATAATATAATATATATAATATATAATATATATAATATAATATATATATATATATTAAATATTATATATTATATATATTATATTATATATATCATATTATATATATACATATTATAACTTATAACATTTATAAGATGAAAAAAGGATGCACTTTGTTAAATCTTCAAGAAACGAGGCTTGAGCACAACATATTGAGGTTAACGGCCTCCGCCTCCTTCTTTGGCATGGGCGGCGAGGACGCCCCAGTGACATGTGACATGTGACATGGATTAGCCCAGTAGAGGAAACCTCGGCGTAGTGGCTTGGTGATTCAAGTTTAAAAGCTTAGAAGCAGCACAATCATAGACTGGTTGGTGGTTTGGAAGATTGTTTAATAGTGGTTAATGGTGGTTAATAGTGGTTAATGGTGGTTAATGAGATATATACCTGGTTGGTGGTTTGGAACATGACTGGATTATGACTTTCCATACATTGGGAATTCCATCATCCCAACTGACTTTAACTCCATCATTTTTCAGAGGGGTTGAAACCACCAACTAGACAATCATAGATATGCAATATGTACATGACATGACTGAATACATACATGTATGTATGAATGTATAATTACATACATGCACTGCGTTGCATTGTGTTGCATTGCGTTACGTTAAATTGCATCACATCACATCACATCGCATTACATTACGTTGCATGCATGCATCCATACATGCTTACCTAAGAAAATAAGAAATTTCAAAAAATGTTGTAGCTCAAGTCTAGAATGATCCATGTAAATATAGATCAATCATGACCCTTCAATGAATTAATCTCAACTGGTGATGCAGGATTTCTGATCAAAACTGTCACCTGGAATCACCCATAAGTTGCGCAAGAGGGCCTCTTCAAGAGGGTCACTGCAGCAGGGCTGCCGATGAGAATTATACATCCGCTACTAGGTGCCTAAAATCCAGTGAGACAATCTTTAACAATTCATTTGCCCCAAAATCAGCTGAACATGTGTTTGTCTGGAAAGCATGTTTTCCTCATGTTTTGATGGCCAATTGGGGAGGTAAAGTCCTCATTTTCAGACATACCTACAACATTCTAAAACATCATATCAAGTTGATTGCTGTATATCATATCCAGATATACACCAGTAAATGTTTGATATTCCCATATGAAGGTGCTATCCCGATATCCCCCAGATCCAACATATCTTACAGCCGTCATTTCAGGACCTGGACAGTTGCCTACGTCTCTTTCACGGCCTTGGCCAACTCCTCTACTTTCCAGGCCGAATCCTTCGGCCCGGGGTTTTGTCTGGCATTTTTCGGACGCCAAAGACGACGAACTTCCCCAAGCTGGATGCCAAACTTCCACAAACTTTTCCCTGTTCCTATCATTTTTCCATGATGTTCCTATCATTTTTCCATGATGTTCCTATCATTTTTCCATGATGTTCCTATGATTTTTCCATGATGTTCCTATGATTTTTCCATGATGTTCCATCATTTTTCCATGATGTTCCTATGATTTTTCCATGATGTTCCTATGATTTTTCCATGATGTTCCTATGATTTTTCCATGATGTTCCTATGATTTTTCCATGATGTTCCTATGATTTTTCCATCATTTTCCTATGATTTTTCCATGATGTTCCATGATTTTCATATCATTTTCCCACATTTTCCCATCCAATGCTGGGTTTCTCCAACAAAACACCTGCCATGCACCATGGCACAGGCTCTCCAGCCGTAGTCTTGGAGCCACAGTGGCTGCTGGATGCCATGGCGCAGATGGTCGCGTGTCCACGGGTGCTGCAGCGCCTAGGCCGACGCTCCACTGCTGATTTTCACCTATGAAAACTGGTGATTTACCTATGAAAACTGGTGATTTCACCTATGAAAACTGGTGATTTACCTATGAAAACTGCTGATTTTCACCTATGAAAACTGGTGATTTACCTATGAAAACTGCTGATTTAACTATGAAAACTGGTGATTTACCTATGAAAACTGCTGATTTTCACCTATGAAAACTGGTGATTTACCTATGAAAACTGCTGATTTAACTATGAAAACTGGTGATTTACCTATGAAAACTGCTGATTTTCACCTATGAAAACTGGTGATTTACCTATGAAAACTGGTGATTTACCTATGAAAACTGGTGATTTACTATGAAAACTGTGATTTACCTATGAAAACTGCTGATTTTCACCTATGAAAACTGGTGATTTACCTATGAAAACTGCTGATTTAACTATGAAAACTGGTGATTTACCTATGAAAACTGCTGATTTTCACCTATGAAAACTGGTGATTTACCTATGAAAACTGCTGATTTTCACCTATGAAAACTGGTGATTTACCTATGAAAACTGCTGATTTTCACCTATGAAAACTGGTGATTTACCTATGAAAACTGCTGATTTAACTATGAAAACTGGTGATTTACTTATGAAAACTGCTGATTTAACTATGAAAAGTGGTGATTTACCTATGAAAACTGCTGATTTAACTATGAAAACTGGTGATTTACCTATGAAAACTGCTGATTTAACTATGAAAACTGGTGATTTACCTAAGAAAACTGCTGATTTAACTATGAAAACTGGTGATTTACCTATGAAAACTGCTGATTTAACTATGAAAACTGGTGATTTACCTATGAAAACTGCTGATTTAACTATGAAAACTGGTGATTTCGGTGATTTAGCTATGAACACTGGTGATTTAACTATGAAAACTGGTGATTTCGGTGATTTAACTATGAACACTGGTGATTTAACTATGAACACTGGTGATTTACTTATGAAAACTGGTGATTTCGGTGATTTAACTATGAACACTGGTGATTTAACTATGAAAACTGGTGATTTACTTATGAAAACTGGTGATTTCGGTGATTTAACTATAAACACTGGTGATTTAACTATGAACACTGGTGATTTAACTATGAAAACTGGTGATTTCGGTGATTTAACTATGAACACTGGTGATTTAACTATGAAAACTGGTGATTTAACTATGAAAACTGGTGATTTACTTATGAAAACTGGTGATTTCGGTGATTTAACTATGAACACTGGTGATTTAACTATGAAAATTGGTGATTTACTTATGAAAACTGGTGATTTCGGTGATTTAGCTATGAAAACTGGTGATTTACCTATTAGGTAAATCACCAGTTTTCATACTATGAAAACTGGTGATTTCGGTGATTTAACTATGAACACTGGTGATTTAACTATGAACACTGGTGATTTACTTATGAAAACTGGTGATTTCGGTGATTTAACTATGAACACTGGTGATTTAACTATGAAAACTGGTGATTTAACTATGAAAACTGGTGATTTAC